TTTGATTGTATGTTAATAAATAAAGTTGCCAAGAGGTCAGAGCTCAGAGCTAAAATCTCACCCTTCCTCCTGCGGTGGTCCTAGCTCTCCGAAAGAGACCTACTTCCTGTGTCTTTTCATAGTCTTTTTGTTCTGCCTTCTCATTGGTTGTAAACCCAAACACGTGACTGCCTCATCACTGCCTGTAAGTACAGCCCTCTAGGTCTTAAAGGCATATGTCTCCAATGCTGGCTGTATCCCTGAACACACAGAGATCTATGGGATTAAAGGCGTGTGCCACCACCGCCATACTCTTGCTATGGCTCTAATAGCCCTGACCCCCGGGCAACTTTATTTATTAACATACAATCAAAATCACATTTCAGTACAATTAGAATACCACCACATATGTATGTATGTATGCGTGTATGTATGTATATTAACAAACCAGTGCCGTGGCTGTAGCTCAGCTCCAGAAAGAAGCCAGCCACGTTCTTACCACTTGGAGAGTTACTTCCGGCATACCCTATATGCCTTTATGCTTTTCTGTTCTGCATTTCATTTCCTCTCTCCACCCAGCTACATCACTTCCTCTTCCTGCCCAGCTCTGTCATTTCCTGTCTGTCTGTACAGGCCTCCAGACCTTTATGGTTAGTGCTGGGATTAAAGGCATGTACCACCACACCTGACTCTGTTCCTAGTGTGGCCTTGAACTCACAGAGATCCGGATGGATCTCTGCCTCCTAAGTGACAGGATTAAAGGTGTGTGCCACCACTGCCTGACCTCTATGTTTACTATAGTGGCTGTTTTTTCCTCTGATCCTGAGATAAACTTTACAGGGTTGCACAGAAAAAAATATTACTACAACCTGGCTCTCCCTCATAGCTTAATCTCACTTCTATCCCCTAGAGTCATTTGTCAACAACAATAAAAATTAGTCGCCGGGCGGTGGTGGCGCACGCCTTTAATCCCAGCACTCGGGAGGCAGAGCCAGGCAGATCTCTGTGAGTTCGAGGCCAGCCTGGGCTACCAAGTGAGCTCCAGGAAAGGCGCAAAGCTATGCAGAGAAACCCTGTCTCGAAAAACCAAAAAAAAAAAAAAAAAAAAAAAAAAAAAAAAAAAAAAAATTAGTCTATTACCAAATTGTTGGGTAATTTTTCAATGCAGTAGCCTGAACCATGTTATGATAGGACACTGGCATAACACAGTGTCCAGTGTCCCCTCTCCTCAGAACTGGCTCCATGTGCTAAGCACTGTGCTCTCAGGAAGAAGCGAGAGGGTCTAGTGCTTTCCGGTCAGTAGACTAACCACAATAACATTTAATAAAAATCTGGTTTCTTTTCTGTATCTGCAGACAGTTTCTTTACCACTGGCCAACTAGAGCACATCTTAAACACCCAGAGAACGGAAATTCACTTTATTAACACTTCAGAACACAAGGATGGTAAAGGAACATGAGCATTTTCCTCATTTAAATATAAATTTTCATCTTAGTTCGTCCATCTTGAATAACTTAGATGTTTTTTCAATTTATATTAGTTCAATTGGTACACTGTCTGCCCTGTGTCCTTGAGAATGGACTGAAGTTTTTGCTTATGGATTTAGACCAATGTTTCTTTCTGTATCTTGGACAAGATTGGGTCAAATCAAAAGAAACAGTATTTAATGAAAAATAAAGAGTAGATTTGGGAGTCTTCCTTTGGGCAGTATGCTGGAGCAAACCTAACTCCCTATTGTATACTTAGCATACACTCTGCCACTGAGCTGTACCTCAGGCCAACAAAGGATGCTTCACATTGCTTATTCCTTTAAGCTGGAACCCACTGCTTCAGAATTTAAGAGAGACCTCACATCAAGAAGTCATGAAGTTCTTCAGAGCCCCATTTAAATGATCTGTTAGCATCAATTAGGAGGGGTGGTCAATGGATCTGTACAACACTGATTTATTTAGAGAGTGTCATATGTTTGAGAACTGCCTTGGCAAGGAATTGTGCTAAACATAGAGATACACACTGCATGCCCACTGGGCTCACATTAAAGGGAAAATACGCAATGGGGGTTTACCTCAGTGGGGTGAGGCTTGATGCTTCCCAGATGGTTGACTCCACCAGCGAGCTCAATAGAAATATCTTCAGAAAAGATGCTCAAATATTAAATAAGCAATGTGTATACACCAAGCCATGATCTGCTACATTTCTTTACATCTGGGCTGGGAGTGTCTCTCGTCCCTAGCTGCAGATGGGGTGGTCTTCTCTGTCAGTGGGAGGCCCCATTAGATTTCCCATTAGGAAAATTATTCTGGCAGGGTAAGTTCTAGAACATTGTCCATAAGTAGATGCAGGGGCTTCTCTTGGGGGTGAAAATTGGGGGAAGAGAAGAACACAGCAAAGAAGAAATGTTTTCCTTGCGTGTGGGAATGAGGTTGGATGTGAGAGTGGAGATTTCAGTCTGCAGCTTGGCAAAGGTCCACAAGCACCCCGTTAGAAAGCAGAGGGTGTTGACCAAATGAGGATTCTGAGATGAGCCAGCCAGAGTCCAGAGAGCCAATGGCAAGACGGGAGATTATGAAAAGAGCACACACAGGGTCAGCCCTTTGGAAGGCAGGGACAGGCAATACAACGCTTTCTTTCAGGCACATAGGAATCCCACACCTGTAATCCGGGCACTCGGACACCCTGGACTGCAGGGATGCCCTGTCTCAAAAGGTGATGGAAGTCTAATTATCTGTTTTGCTACCCTTCTGTACGTATGTACACACACACACACACACACACACACACACACACGAACACAAATGCATTCACATGGAGAAGAGTTGGCAGATGGCAATCTGGAGACCCCCAGGAGGAGGCTGAGAAGGCCTCCCCCAGGGCTCCCTCCCTAGTGCCTGCAGCATCCCCCTCTACGCTTCTTCAGGCGTCTCCAGTCTGCTCAGTCAGATTTTGGCAGTTCATAGAGTGCTCAGGGCCACAAATACTGTCATAATATCGGGGTTTTGTGGCCGTCACTGTCAGAGCTGGTGAGGTGCTGTGCTGTCAGCCACTTCGGCTTGGTGGTGTTTACACAATCGAGTTTTCTTCGGCCACAAAACAAAACTGTCATTTTTCAGGATAATGAATAGAACTGAGGGTTACCATGGTAGGTGAAGAAGCCAGATCCAGAAAGACAAATCTATGTCTTCTCTCACAGGTGGAATCTAGACAGTGTGTGTGTGTGTATGTGTGTGTGTATTCGTGTATATACATATGTGTGTATATGAATGAATATATGTATGTGTGTATATATATATGTGTGTGTGTATATATGTATGTGTGTATATGTGTGTGTGTATATATATGTGTGTATATGTGTATGTATATGTGTATATATGTGTGTATGTGTGTGTTTATATGTGTATATATGTGTGTGTATGTGTGTGTGTGTGTGGTGCATGTACACATGTATGACATGAAGAGGAAGGGAAGGAGCAGGAGGGGAAGGAGGAGAGGGAGCTGATGAGAGTTGAAGTCCATGATAAACTTGACAAAGATATCATTATGGAGCCTATCGTTTTGAATATTTCATAGATTATATTCATTTAAAAACAGAATATGTGTAGATGTAATGAATTTAATGAAATGATTATGCATTAAATTTTTGAAAATCAATACCTACTTTGGATTTTTTGTTTTTGTTTTGAGACAGGGTTCCTCTAAGTAGCCCTGCCTGGCCCGGAACTCACTCTGTAGACCAAGCTGGCCTTGAACTCACAGAGCTCTGCCTACCGCTGCCTCCCAAGAGCTGATATTAAAGGTGTGCCCAGCTGAGACCTACTTTGAAGCCTGTTCTCCATAATTAGTTCCCAGCCTTCCTCAAGACAAGAACTGGGGATCCATCGTCAGGCTTCCAGTTGTAGCCTGTGTGGTGTCACCAGTGGGGAGAGAATGAAAACGGGTGATGTGAAGAAGATGCTTGTTCAGAGGTGTGCCCAGTGTTGTGCTGTGAAAAGGAGGCAGACACAGCCTGGACCAAATCTCCATGGTCTGTTTGTGTGGCAGACAGGTCAGGGCACTGGATTTCCTCACACAGATGTAGACAAGAGCGAAGACATCACCTGGGGAGTGGATACCTGGAGTATTTGGGGAATCCCAGGAAGTACATCTCTGGAACAAAAATGATCTTCCCTGGAATTCAGAGTTAGGAGGAAAGAGCAGACCTAATAGTTTATCTTAATAAGGCTACTAACACATAATGTCAGGGCCTTATTTATTACAAAATGAACATCACATGGCTTTTAATGTGTAGCATAATTTAATTCCTACACCAGAATTCAAATCATGAATGGCTAACGATGTTTTTGTTGGACAGTCCTGATTTAAGCAAAATTGACTTGTGGTAAAGTGGAGATGATCTTTTTAAAACTCACAACAAAAGACAGGAACCAACAGCAGTTAGAACAGAAACCCTCTGGCTCGAGCCCAAAGCTCCTGGAGCTCCGTGTTCATGTCCAAGAAGAGACACGCTGATTTAGGTGTTTAACAAATACCTCAGTGGGGTTTGTCATTGGGGTTTGCGATCCCAGAGGGCTTTGGTACAACACCTGTGGCCCCTCAGTGCTTCAGTGACCCCGTAGTTCAGGGGCTGTGCACTGGAGCACAGATGCAGGCGAAATTTCAGAGCTCCTCTCAGAGGTGACGGGGGTTATTCAGCACACACTGGGGCTCTATTCATCTTTGGGCTCAGGATACTTGGGTTCAAACTTAAGCTCTCCCATCATTAGTTATCTATGCAACCCTAGGCAATGTAATCGATGTCTCTGAGCGTCACAATATGATTTGCATCTTAGGATTATTTTGAGAGTTAACAAGCTAATTTTGTAAGCTGCTTGTCACATTACAAGCGCTCAATGGATTTTACTTCCATTATTATTTTTGAGTGTGCCCCCATGTTAAAACTGGAACACAACGAATAAGATACATTTCCATTCTATGAGTGGGACAGGGTCCCAGTGTACAGAGACAAACAGAAACAGGCCATCGGGCAATCCATGCAATTTATAGAATTTATGGAAGCAAAAAAAAAAAAAAGAATTTATGGAAGCAATATGAACTAAGTATGTTGAACCTTGGCCCCACCTGGCCTTCAGCCCATCACCATCCATTCACAAGACGGCTCAGTCTCTTTGTCCAGAGGTAATTGACTCTCAGGAGGTGGAAATTGATTCCCCATCGGCCAGGTGCCTGTCTGTGTGTCAATCATCTTGTTCCAATCTCTTGAAGGAGGTAGTGGGGATGGGGGGTGCTAGGAAGTGGGAAAGGGAAGAGAACGGAATGAAGAAGCAAAAGACAAGGAATGCAACTCCTGCACTAGCCCACCTCCATGGCTCTGTTTGAAGGGTCTTTGTGATCTGAGAGGAGGAAAGTCAGAAAGGCATTAGCACAATTTAATAACAATTCTGAATATCGTCCAGACTTTAATAAGACCAATGAAATCTCAGTTGAAAATAGTAATCTAAGTTTACCAAAGCCAATAATGTTTTAATGTTAAAAGTCAATTTATTATTTGGACAGGTCCCATTTTAAACTTCGAATCCTCCTTTCAGGTTATTTATTCTGAAATAACTTGAAACTCCGTGAATGACTGACATAAGACAGATGAATTAGCACTTCATTTGCCTTAGGTAAGAAGTCGAAGTGATCTTCATGCTTGGGCTTTTCAAATGAAATACATTACATTGTTCTATGCATTTCTTCAGGATCCATACAGACTGTACAGTCTTTTGGAATTTCCCCAATCCCTACTGGTTAATTGTAGTGCTGAGTTCTTATAAGTCTGTTCCTTAAAGAATGCTTCGGAAAAGAATGAAGTCATGCAGCAAATTAAATCATAATGACACTGCAGAGTTCAATCAATCTACAAAGTTTAGGGATTCATAATGGTCCCTACAGTATACTCAGATTTTTAAAAAGACTAAGAAAATATTATTAAGAGGGAAATTTGGGTTGGAAGGACTGGATTGTAAAATTGCAGCCCAGTTTGCCTGGCCCAGAGAGAAACTTCTGGAACCTACAGTCCCAGTTCTTATGCATGTCCATGAGCATGATCCATGTGGAAATGCTCTGAAGAGGAAATGGCAGTAACCAAGTTCCTGCAGCACCACAGTAACAGTTCTGCCATCTTGAAAGGGATCTGAGGAGTAACTAATGCTCCAGACAAGAGGAAGTAAAGGAAACAGAGAATAGCATGGCTGGAGGTCCACAGAGTTTAGATCTTGCTTGGCTGTTTGCTGGTCTTGCTCTTGGATAAGTCGCTGGGTCTCTTTTCTTATACGTAAAATGGGGATCTGTGAAGATTAGATGGACTGATATATATGAGAATACCTATAACAAGGAAGCACTCAATAGATGGTAGCTGTCACTCAATAGATGGTAGCTGTCACTCAATAGATGGTAGCTGTCACTCAATAGATG